TTTATCTTTTTCTAGGTGTCAGTTGCTTTTTTGACTCTAGTGTGATCTATTACAATTCTCGAAATTTCATCATTAATTTTCTGTATTCCATTTGCAGTAATCTATATCTTAAAAGTTAATTTTGATTCCAAAACATCGCTCTAACTTATCTACTTGATACTTTTTAGATTTATTGAGTCCAGCACTTGACAAATGACAAGGCAGGAACAAGACAAGACAAGACAAGTTCACTTGTAGAAAAACTTTCTGAATGTATTAAGATATAACTTAAACTCTGAAAATTCAGTGCTGATTTGTGTGCTTTTCTTTTCTTGTAAGCATCGTAAAATTCATGAAAACCCTTATTTCTTTCAATATATTTCTATTTTGAGACCATATCCGTAAGTTTTGAAGTTGGAGAAACTAGAGAAACTTCGTAGATTGCTACTTTTTTTTCCTTGACTGTTCCTCTACATTTTTTCCCCAAGACAACTACACATTTGCACTCAGAAAGCAGTTTGAATTTGAAGCAGTCTGTTTTGTTTTCAGTAGTATTTTGAGCAAATCGAGTATTTGAAATCGTAAAACGAGATATCAGTATATCGAAATATAAGAGAATATTTGAAACTTCTATTCTTTTGATTTTCATTATATTTATATTCAAATCACATCTGCTTTTGCCTCAAAATCCTCCACTAGTTTCAAAGAATTTTCAGCAATTTCCCTTTTTTTGCTTTGTTTATTGCATCGTTGTGCGGAAAGAACGAAGTAAAATTCATTGGAGACAACCAGTAAACAACTCAACGAAATATAGGCATCACGGGAGAGATCGAGAGAGAAAAGGATGGTTGAAAGAGAGGAAACGGCAGGGGAATAGAGCAACATTTATCTCTGATTTCTCTCAATTTTGGCTCTATCCAAGCCTCTCTTCATATGCTCTGTGCTCATGCCTTGGCGACAATGTTAGAGGGGAGAGGGGAGAGGGGAGAAGAGGTAAGCAGAGCAGGGTGGGCGCCCCTCTGCACTCCTCTCTTTGCCCCCCTTCCCCTTTCTCTTCCAATTCCTTTTCATTTTCATTCTTTCTTTTTCTTCTTCTTCTTTTCCTTCTTCTTCTTCTTCTTCTCCTTCTTCTCCTTCTCCTTCTTCTTCCTGTGCTCTTTCCCTGTTTCAGTGTTTCAACTTTTTTATCGAATTTCCCCTTTCAAATCTCCCTTCAAATCCTTGTATCCTGTATTGTTCAAATTCTTCACAGTTTGCATTCAAATTTCTATTTTCTTAACTACTAGAATTTAATCTATCATTTGTCTATCTTATTTAAACTTACAATTATTTCTTAAACCCAGATTCTTGCTGTTTTCTATGTTCTTTGCTGCTTTTTTCAGCTAATTCGACTAATTTGAACGTGATATTTCCCTTTTAAGCATTGGTTTTGCAAAGAAAAACCTTAAATCTTGTTGTTTTTGAAATAAAACCTTACTCATAACATTCTATAATATTAAATTTCAAATCTTAAAGCAAAAAAAAAATGATTCCTGTGTAGCAGTGGGTACAACGGGCTTGCTGTTTAACAAATTTTACAAACAGAAAGAAAATTTTGAGCTGAATTAGAGTGCATATCTCTTTTCATATTGAACTTACTTGTATTTACTTTTTTTTATGTCATTGTCATTCGTTTTTCCTTTCAGACAAGAAAAGAAAAATGCCGTGCAAGGAGTGGAGTCTGAGTTGTTTGAAGAGTCAATTCGACACTCTCCCGGGATGGGGTCAGTCAGAACTTTGACATTAGCATTTCTAATGAAATGAAAATATGAAAATCAACTTACCGTAAATACTGTAATAGTACCCCACCGCCCTCGTACAGTCGCGTAGTCGCAAAAGTTTTTTTTAGTATTTCATTTTTTGCAAAGCACCCGTACTTTCAAAAAATGCGTCTTTAGTATCAAAAAATAGCCCTGAATTTCAGCTATTTTTTTGATACCTAAACGCACATTGTAGCATAAACCAGCGTCGAGAAAAACGCGTTCAAAGCTAGACTACGCAACACTCCGCACCGTCATTATGGGGATGCGGTACTAATACAGTATTTACGGTGACTATATCTACGTTTGTTTTTCTAAAGATTACAATCCCTAGCTTTAGGTAAAGCTGCGGTTGGAGTGGCGGCAGGCCTTGTGCTCTACATTCCTTACAAATACCTCACGACTCGACCCCGAAAAAGCCCATATAAAGAGGATTATAAGCCAGGTATGTAAATTTGATTATCTGGATTGCAAATCTACAACTTCCCTTTCATCTATAGATTTAGCTAATCAATAATCAATATCAATAATCAATGTCATACTCTTAAAAATCTATCCTACAGATCCACCACTTTTCCTGAGGACTTTGTGCGTTGAAAAGCTTGAAACACACCCTTTCTGGTGCACTCAATTTGTCACGCATCAATATTTAAGTAAAATAGATATATAAGTTATTCGATTTTGAGTTTAACTCATTGTCAGCGATGAAAATGAAAAATTGAGCGCGTCAGGAAGGTGCGTTCCCAAATTTTGAGCGCACAAAGCACACTGACTCACCGTTTCTTTCGAAAAATGAAACCTATTCAGACTAAAGCATTTCTGAATCAAAAACTCAACATTTCCTGCTCGCTTTTTTCAAGATTCCATGATTCCATGACGTTTTCATGAACTTTTCCCCAGATAAGCCCTTTCAAACTTCAAACACAAATAGAGAAAACGGAAAAATTGATCGAATACCCTGATAATCTTTGTTAATTTCTCCTAATTTCTAAGAATTAGTTGAACTCCTCAATATCCTTTTGCTTTTATTTATTTTCTTGAGTGTCTTTTGAGTTGTTTGAGTGGAAAAGAGAGGAGTTCCCTATTTATTGACAAAGGATAAGAGAAAAGTTTCGAACACTTACTTGTCTTCGTAGAGATTCTTTTGAAAAAAGGATTCTAGAAAATGGAAGACTAAGGTGTTTTTGAGGTTTATCTAAATACTATTTATTATACAAGATCCATCCAATCATAGAGCTTAAGAATTAGAGTTTAGAATCACCTCTTGAAGATCTTGAAGTTGATTTTGTGCTCAAATTAGTGAAAACAAGTACAAGCACACTCTCAATTCATTATTTCATCAACAATAGCTCCGAATAAAGAGCTGAATGCACTAGAAAAGATGTGTTTTCATTTTTGTACACACAAAAGATTGTGGGACATTTGAAGCGCATTCCACCTTTGCCATTGCTAATCCAACTTTGAGCTCAAATTCTTGGTGTTGGATTGTTCAATTTGAATAGTTTTTATACCAATCGATAGAGAAAGATTTGACGTATCCAATGATACCAAGAACATTGAAATTGAACACCCGAACACCAAGAAATTTGAGCCCAAATTTAGATTACCAATGGGAAAAAGGGCAGGTCGTCCGATAACGCACACAAAGAGCATTGGAGAACTTGAAGAGCATCTTTTGCTCTAGCACAAAGACTCATAGTCAGCTGAATTCGTTCACTAAACAAAGACAATGAATACAACTAGCAATGTGCCAAGGCATCCGGTATATTCCCAGTTATATGACCGTCAGGTATGTCCAACCTGAGCCTGCTCCTGACTGGCATTAGATCATCCAACCTGAGCCTGCTCCTGACTGGCATTAGATCATCCAACCTGAGCCTGCTCCTGACTGGCATTGGATCATCCAACCTGAGCCTGCTCCTGACTGGCATTGGATCATCCAACCTGAGCCTAATGAACTTAATGACTCGTTAGAAAGATTCCTGGCAAATTCTAAATTATTTTGCGTATTCAATATTGCGAAAACTTTATCAAAAGTATCAAATTTTTAAAAAAAAAGCATTCACCTTTGTTATCAAAACATTTCCATGAGCGATTTTCTTCTCTAAATCACCTCCACCCCGCTCATTTCCTTTGTGAATGCCCGCTTTTCCAAACCTGTGATGGCCTTGACTTGAAAAATCCTGAAAAACCCAAAAACAGCACACAAAATAGCACTATAGGAAGGGAAAAATTATATAAAATTTGGAAATTTTTTTCATTTTTAGGCGTGGTCTACTTGTATCAATTCTATCGAACTTCAGCCACTCCAAACGTTTCAAATTATTGCCTCAAACTTGAGACATGGCTCAGAATGGCGGATATACATTACGAGGTACTGTACTGTACTCAAAGTTGTAAACAAATCTTTCCTGGTGCACTCGAATCTTTCATTTTTCACGCAGCAATCATGTATGATGTTCTGTGAAAAAAAAAGGAAGGCTTTAGTACACCAGAAAAGAAAGAGCAATGGAAATTGACTTCGGAATAACTCTGACTGTGTTTAAATGTTGTTTTTTTTTCATTTTAAGTGAAATTCCAGATCGTGCCCGCCCCAATCTTTCTCCGGTCAAAAGAAGGTACAATGCCATTCGTCGAATTGGACGGAATCGAATATTATGATTCAGCGTTCACTATTTCGTAAGTTTATGCCGGTTTTTAGTTACAGAATGAGATAGTAAGGTATAAAGCTCTATTCTGACGACAATCGGAAACGTGTGGGTGTAGCTGGTAAAGCATTGGTAAAGGGTTGGCCGGGTAACCCTGGTGGTTGCGCTCGAGATCGCAGGTTCGAACCCTGGTGTCGATGGTTTTTTTGTATTCCTAGCCGCAATCCATAAAAGGACTACAGGCTTAGAGAAAATTATCCAATTAAGAGTTCTTCATTGTAACATTGAAACTCAACCATAGAATTTTCTCCATAGTATAAATTTATTCATTTACCCTATTAGAACATTACTGAAAAGAAAAATCTGTTGTTTTTCTTTCGAACCACAAAGTTTTGGGTAAAATTGATCCTCGCAGAGCTGCATTTTTCCCTTTTCAGCGCTTTTTTTTTTCTAAAAAACAATATTAAGACTAGAAAAATTTGACTTCTTTTTACGAGCATAATTAAGAGTTTATAGAAAAAAGGAATTTTATAAAACGGTTGACGAAAGAAATTCAAAAAAGTTTCTTGTCTGCCAATTTTCACAAAAACGAAATGACAAATGAGCTGACAATGAGCTAGTTAAAATGAAAAACAAATCAAATTTAGCAATCTGACGTCAGCCCTCAACAAGAGTAGCCTCGAGGATCATCTCACCGACGAGCAGAAAGCCGTTTCGAGGGCCTTCGAGAAAATGACTGGTCAGCAATTTAATTGCGGAAATTTTTTACCTGATTTACCTCCTAAACCATTTATAACTAAACAATAGCAAAACAGTGTAAAACTGAATACAATAGTAATCTAAAAAAAGCTAAAAAGCTAGTAATAAGCTGAAGAAATTTTTCCAGAGAACTCCTTCAACATCTCCCACATTCCGCTACGATTGGAGCATATTGGAGAGGTAAAAAAGTGCAATACTTTTGATAAAGAGAACTTAAATTGAAATCTTTTTCATTTCTCTTCAAAATCTCATTCAGATTATCGCCACTTTGCCAAATGTTTTCGGTTTTTTGCGTCCACTCGTCGGTGTGATCGCCTCGAGAGATGTGTCGACGAGGGTCCGATTTTGAATTTCTTTTTCAATTAGCTAAAGTTAAAGCTAAAACTAAAGAACGTATTTTATCGAAGTTTTCGTGAATTTTAGATGTATTATCATCAATTATTGGGTTGGTCAATTGAAAACTGTGAGACTTTGAACTAAAATTTATTGAACATACCGGCAGATGTCCGGTTGAGCTATGCATCGATGAATGCACTAAAATACGGGGAAAACATTTGTTATTGATTTCTGAAGCGCTTTGTCTTTTCAAATTTCAGTATTAATCTACAAGAATTGCTAGGAAAGGATAGAGAAATGTATTAGGTTGTCCAGTTATAAATGCGCGTTTTTAAGATAACAACTTTTTATTTTAAAACCAACAGTTTAACAGCTCAATCAACAATATATTCACCATTTGTTAACAATATTTGTTTCCATCTTCCATGCAAAGAATGAATTCCCTCCGCGTAAAAATTGGCTTGTTTTGAGGCAAAGAAGTCGGCTATCCATTTTTCGACCTCTTCAACTTCTTTGAACTTGTTTCCGGCCAAATGGTTTCGCATTGAGCGAAATAAATGGTAATCCGAAGGAGAAATATCCGGAGAATATGGCGGATGCGGGAGAGTTTCCCAGCCCAACTCTTCGAGTTTTTCCTGAACAATCTTTGCAACGTGTGGACGGGCGTTATCTTGAATGAACTTTATGTTTGAAGGATCAAGGCCTTTTTGTAGCAATACATTGTTCACTCGTTCCAGTTGTTGTGCATACGTTTCACCCGTGATTGTATGTCCAGGTTTAAGCAGCTCAAAATAAACAATGCCTTGGGGAATTCCACCAGACAGTAAGCATTACCTTCTTGCCATGGAAGTCGGGTTTTTGGTGTTGGTATTGGCTCCTCACCAGGTTCTAGCCATTGCCGTTTTCGTGTAGAATTATCATATTGAATCCATTTTTCATCGCAAGTAAGGATTTCATCGTAAAACCCAGTATTTTTTGCCAAACGAAGAAGAATACCCGCCATAGTGACACGAGTAGCTTTATTGGCATTGCTGAGAAGATGAGGAACCCATTTCCCTTGTCGGCTTGTTTTCCCCAATTGATTTAAATGCTCGGAAATTGTTTGAGGGCTTACTCTAAATATTTCTGCAAGTTCACGTGTAGTTTGCCGAGGATCCATTTCTATCGCCTGCTTCAGTACTGCATTATCGATCGCAGGAGGTCGTCGTTGGTGGTCTTCGCCTTCCAAAGATTCATTTCCTTCTCGAAATCGTTGAATCGCATCTTCGCCCATAATTTGCAGAGATCTCGATAAGATTCAACGGCATTTTTGCCCAATTTGAAGTCATACCAAAGACTAGCACGAAAGACGAAACTTCGTCTCGGTCATCTAAACACGGAAATTAAATCAAAAATCAATTAGTTTAACGTCAAAAACACGAAAAGTTGTAATAAATAAGGAATCTTGAACAGCATATAGAGAATAGAGTTTGTTAAAATTGTATAGCCCTAAGGTACGCTGTTCAAGAGGAGGCGCGCATTCATAACTGGACAACCTAATAGAAAAAAAAAAAAGTTAATCAATCTATCTATTGGGTTGGTCAATTGAAAAATGCGGGACTTTGAACTAAAATTTATTCAACATAAAACCATGAATTCATTCCAAATAATTTCCATTATTATTGACGACTTCTGTCCATTTTACAGGCAATTTGCGGATTCCTCTTTCGTAGTAGGATTTTGGTTTGTGTGTGAGACAAGTGTGAGACTCAAAAATCGAGGACTGGAGATGTCCAGTTTGGACCCAGTTTGAGCACTTTCTTCGAAAGAAACCCATTTTGGTGTCAATAGAAAAGTTGTAGAGAATCAAAAATTAGGCTCATA